GAAGTGACATTAATTTGGAGTGAAGAAGAGCTTTCAAGGAAAGTATTAATTTGTTGTTAATGAAGGACACGCCTTTTGGTATGCTTTTGCAAACAAGAATCACATACCCAAGCAAGAGATAATAAAAATAAAAGCTCAATTTTCTATAAATAATCACTTTTTAAAGAAAATCTTTATCTTGAGAACAAATATAAATAAAATATGAGAAGTTTGAATAAACATTGATTTCTAAATAGATCTTAAAAATAGAAGGCCTCAATAATAAGTTGAAGGAGAATTCACGAAAAAAAAAAGAGTTAAAAAAATATTGAACCTAATGAGTAAATAAGGGATTTATCAAACATATGGGCTCTTAGATAAGAAAGAAATTCATGCATAAATAATGGATGATTCATTTAAAAACTCAAAATAAGAATATTATTTTGATAACACCATAGAAAAATCAACAAATATTGATTTCTTCATAAGAAGAATTAAGTAGTCCTAAATCCATGAAAAATTTAAGAGATTATATTTTTTGGTTAAAAAAATATATAAAAATCTTTGAACAATGTAGTTTATAAAATAGCCTTTTCATCTTGAAAAGAAGATCTATGAACGATGAACTTACCTGCAAAAGTGAATTTCAATTAATGAATCTAACAATTCTAATAATATAATATCTAAAATTGAAATAACAATTTTACCTTCGTATAAAGATCACAATAAGGATTGTTGATTGGGTAAGAAATAAGTTGAAGATGCACAATTTGAGATGAAGAATATTTGCAATCAACATTAATAAAAGAATAGGTCGTGATGGTAGGCAAAACAACCATTGGTAGAGAAATAACAACTGGATCAAACATCATGAATGGGTTTTCCTCAAAGGGAGACCTAAAGAATTAGTTCATATGTTGTGAAAAAATGATGGATGTTGGCACTGCAATGTGCTAGTGCTATGTGAAATAGTCAATGGGAAACATCTCAGAAAATAGAAATGATTGTGTCATCCTTATGAATTAGAGAAGGTTCAAGCCTTCATGATGAAAACTTTCATAAGTAGGATATGGTGGGCATAAATGTCAACTAAGTTAGATGAGAAAAGGAGGTCACCATATTTGGTGGAGGGCACCAAATAGGTGGAAAAGGTAGTGCTTTGGATTCCAAATCCGTCTATATGATTGCTAATGCATGTACTCTTAAAAACTTAGTAATGACAGGAGTGTTGGGTTTTTAGGCAGGATCTAGAAGATTGTATGTGATGGAGCAATAATGGGGGGTAATAGATTGTAATGGTGAAATATCATTGAAAGACAAAGTGGTAAAATGAGAAGAAGACAAAAAATATGTATATTGATTAAAGGTGGCTTGCGGGCAGTAAAGTGGTAGAAATTAGAGTTTTTAGGATGGAAAAATCAGCCCTAAATCACAAGATTGTGTTTGAATGGAAAGGTAAGAGAATGGGAAATATTCAAGGGTTAGGAAGGAAGTGAATGAGAAGAAACAAAAAAAAAAAACTCAAATAAAAATATAATAAAACAAACAAAAGAATACACTTATCATCAAAAAAGATAAAGAAGATTTCGACCAAGCTTCTAACTTGATGATTTCAACCATGAAGATTCAATACCAAAAAACTTATATAAAATATAATAAATTATCATTGATTAATTCATTCATAATTAAAAAATAATCCTCTTATTACATTATAATTCAAATTTAAAGAGAAAGGAGAAGGTTTGTAGATTGCATGTGAAAAGCGCTTATATTGAGGAATCTCTTTAATTAATTTTAATTTGGAGATAGAGATGACAAATTGATCTTGGATTTGGAAATACTCTTTGGATGTGAAGTATGTGACACCTATTCACTTGTATGATCTCTCTTAGATTTGTCTTTGTAGAGGGATGTCGTCCATATGCATATGATGATGATAATCAATTATACAACCTCACTTTCAAATTTCTTACAACTAACATCTAACTTTAAACTTTCTTCTCCACACAATCAAGTTTCAAGCTTGTAATTATTCATAGGGATCTATATGCTAATCATTGCATGTAGGCTTCAAGAATTTTTTAATAATGGAATGGATCCTACAAATTTGAAAACATGTATCATTAGTAAATAAAGCCAATTTCAATGAATCGAACAATTTTGAAAATATGGTATATGGAATTAAAAAAATAATTTACCTTGGTATGAAAACTGAGAGAAGAATTATTGATTTGGTGAGAAAGAAGTTGAAGATGCACTATTTTAGGAGGATACTATCCATGGACAACATTATAAAAAGGAACCATTGATGTTGATAAGTGAACAACCATTGGTTTGCCAATAGAGCTGGGATCAAACATCATTCATCATGTTTTGCCATAAAGCACAGCCCAAAGAAGGCATTTATATGCTAAGAAAGAAGGATGGATGATAACAACAAGAGGTGGAAGCCTTTAATAAAATAATGGAAGAGAAACCACACCCCGAAAGTATTAATGACTGGTTAAACATAATGTACAGCGAGAAAATTCAGGCCTTCAAAATAAAATCTTTCGTATAAAAATAAGAAAGATTTTATATAGGGTTAGTGTTAGTATCAATTAGACTATGTAGGTTATAACGGGACAAATTAGAGGGGAGGGGGATCTAGTGACTAAATCATTAAAGAATTGAAGTTGTTTGTTGTTGGATCTAGAGGAGGGCATTGAATTTGGTGGAAAAGGGTTGCTTGGCCTTCAAATATGACAATAAGGGTGCTAATGGGCTCTCAAAAAGCTTGGTAGTGATGGGGCCATTAGGTTAGGTAGATAGTGGCAATGGGTGATGAAGGATTAGATGTTGTTGGAACGATGTCATTGGAAGACATAATTTTATTTTTTTGGGAAGGAGTAGAATCTAAAGTTAGAATGGAAAAATTGAATCCTAATTCACTTATTAATTTTTTATTTTTTTGGAAAGGCAAGGGGATTGAAGATTTTCTTTTTAGGGTAAGGAGAAGGTGAATCAAAAGTAGAAGGGAAAAAAAAAAAGTCAACCATAAAGATAAGCATAAATCAAACAAAATAATATAACCATCACTAAATAAGATTAAGCAAGTTTTGACCAAACTTTTAACTTCTAAATTTTAGCCACCAAGCTTTAATCCCAAAAAAATAAACAAATAAAGTATAAATTATCATTCACTAGTTTGTTCATAATCACGAAATCAGAGATGGAGTATATGACACCTCTCGAGTTTATCCTTCGCTATTAACTTTTTTTGTTTGGGAGCTTTCTTATTGCTTTTTAAAACAACATTTTAGTTAAAAAAATTTTAATTCAAAACATTTTTGTACAAAGCAACAAAAAACTGTCTCAAATGAAGCCTCAGACAATGCACATAAGAAGAAAATTTCTTCTTTTTATTGTGTGGATAGACTTAGGTAAATTTTAAAAAAAAATTGTGAGTACTCATTAATTTATACACTGCAATTTTGGCTTTTATTTTTTTTTAAGTGTAGCCTGAATCCTCTCTACATTGTCATAAAATATTAATTTAATAGAAGCCAAAACATTAAATTTGTGATTTATTTAGTATCATTTTCTCTTTCTTTTACAATTAGTTCCCGTGATAATTAAGCATATTTTTTATTCTTCTATTATTATGGTAGATTAGCAATTATTATTAAAATAAATTTATTCTTATATTATTATAGCAGTTATTGTTAACATAAAGTCTAATATATAATTTGAAGTTCAATTTTATGGTGTATGATAATCTAAGAAAATCTGAGATTTCTCTCGAAAAAAAAATTTAAAATATCTAAAAGAAATAGTTCTCTGTATGTTACATTTTAAGAAGAATAGGAAAAGTATATATAAAATCAAATATATTTTTTGAATTATAATTTAATAGTATTAATGATGAAATAATTATATAATTATTTTAAAATATGAAGACTCGGAGATAGAAATTCTAAGTAATATGTAAGAAGAAGATGAAGAACAAATATTCTTTCATTGTAAGTTTTTTTTATTATATAATTAAATTATGTTTTATAATGACAGCTCTATTTAAAAACAATTTAAACCATCAATGCATATTCGAAGCCCAACAGAAAAACATTAATAGTATTTTTAGAATCGATAATTTGTGCCTCCAAAAGAACAAAAAAAGTTATGGCTTCACCCCTAATTACAAGTCAATGAGCAGGTTTTTAGCATAATCATTTTATCCATTATAGACAAATAACAACAACAACATCAAGTTTTTATCCCATGTGGGGTTGGCTACATGAATCCTTTATTCTCAATTATATTCGTTAATAGTCAAATTCTCATTTAAATCTAATAAAAAAAAGTCATCTCTAATATTGTCTAATCAAGTATTTTTATGTCTACCTCTATCTTTCTTAATATAAGTCAAATTTAATAATTATACTTTCCTAACCAGGTCATCAGAAGGCCGTCGTTTTATATGACCAAATCATCTAAGACAACTCTCTCTAATCTTACATTCCACTATAGCTAGCTACTCCTACCTTTTCGCGTATATGTTCATTTTGTATCTTATCTATAAGAGTAGAGCCACTCATCCACCTAAGGCCTGAGCATCCTCATCTCTACAACCCTTAACTTAATATTTTGCTTCTCTTTAAATGGCCAACATTCTACCCCATAAAGCATCTTATAGAATTTTCCCTTAAGTTTGAGGGGGACTTTTCTATCACACAACAAGCCCGATGCATTCCTCTACTTTAACCATCCAACTTGAATTCTACTAATAATATACCATCTATTTCATCATCACTCTAAACAATAGATCTAAGATATATATCTAAAATGTGTACTCTTATTAATAACTCGATCTCCCAAAATCACAATCCCCCCATTAGATCTATTTTTACTAAAATTATACTCCATATATTCAATTTTAGATCTACTCAAATGAAAGCCTTTAGACTCTAAAGTTGACCTTCATAATTCATTTAACTTTAACTCCGTCTTTAATCTTATCAACAACAAAAGAACATCATCAGCAAAAGCATACACCATGATACATCCTTACATTGAGATAAGCTTGAAATTAATTAAATTTACTTTGAAATTATTGCAATATTACTATAAAAAAAAAATTCAATATTTTCCAAACATGTTCTATTTCAAATTATATCAATATTTTATATCATAATCTTTTTCCAACATAAACCTCCAAAAATAGAATACTCCTCCTAAAGATCACCCAAACCTTCACACCAACCACATACTCCAAACCCTCGCAAACAACTCCCCTCCCCCTCGCTAACCGTTGACAGCCTCTAACAAGCCCAATAAATAACCAATCCATCCCTTCCCCCCACAATCCTTCATCGGTCTCCACCCCCAACAAAAATGGTAAACAAAGCTGCCATCGGCGGCTTCTCCGCCATCCTCGTCGTCGCCGCCGTCATCAGCGTCATCGCCATCTCCTCCCGATCCTTCAACAAGCCTACTGCTTCCAGCCAACTCGCCACCACCGTTAAGTCCTCTGTCTCCGTTCTCTGCGCACCGACATCCTACAAAGATGCATGTGAGCGCACCCTCACCGGCGCCATCAACGACACATCTTCCGCCGGCGACATTATCCGCGCCGCCGTTAAGGTGATCACAACTCACGTCGAAGCTGCGAATGAAAAAGCTAACGAGCTTCATAAGCTGGCTAAGGGCCCCATTGACAACGACGGCTTCGAATTGTGTAAGGAGCTTCTGGTGGATGCCGGCGATCGGCTCGCCGCCGTGCTCGCCGAAGCTGATAATGGACATCGGCTCGATGATTTTCAGGTAACGGTGTGAAGGAAACGAGATATATCAGAATCTTCGGTGGAGCTAAAAAATGAAAATTTTGTCGTTAATTTTTATAATATAACATTTATATATGTTTAGACAACCACCACCACAACAACAACAACATCAAGCTTTTGTCCCACTACGTGGGGTCGATTACATGAATCTTTTTTCATCATTGTGTCATGTTAAAAGTCAAATTCTCATTTAAATCAAATAAAGAAAGATCATTTCTAATATTTTTTAGCCAAGTCTTTTTAGATCTATCTCTACCTTTCTTCACATAAGTCAAATCTAATACCTCAACTTTCCTAATTGGGTCATCGAAAGACCTCCGTTTAATATGACCAAATCATCTAAGACGACTCTCTCTAATCTTATCTTCCAGTGGAGCTACCCAACCTTTTTCACGTATAAGCTCATTTCATATCCTATCTCTAAGAATAAAGCCACTAATCCATCTAAGCATCCTCATCTCTCCAACACTTAATTTAGTATTATGATCATTTATGTTCAGAAATAAATTCAAAATCTAACATTATATAACGCCATTCTTCAGGCCTGGCTCAGCATGGTCGTCTCCTACCGCACCAACTGCCTAGCCAGCATCGAGTCGGAAGAGCTCAACGCCGAGATGGCCACCGCCCTCCGCAACGCCACCGAGCTCACCGACAACGCCATCGCCATTATTACGGCCGTTTCCGACCTCACAAAAGATCTCAACCTCGACTTGAATGCCACCGTCGCCGCATTAACCGGGCGCCGCCTCTTGAACTATCCCGAGTGGGTTCCGGCGGCCGACAGAAAGCTTCTGGCTGCCAGATGGAACGATCAGAAGCTGCCACCCAACGCCGTGGTTGCGAAGGATGGCAGTGGACAATTCAAGACAATCAACGACGCGCTCAACGCTATGCCGGAGACTTACAGAGGGCGCTACGTGATATATGTGAAGGCTGGTGTGTACAATGAGAAGGTTACTGTGGATAAGACAAAGCCCAATTTACTTATTTACGGGGATGGGCCGCGAAAGACTTTGGTTACGGGCCGGCTGAATTATGCAGAGGGGGTTGGGACCTTCAAGACCGCCACTTTCTGTAAGTAGGCTTCTCTGGGGTCTTATTTACGAGAAATTATTCTGTACGAATCCCGAATGCAGTTTTATATCTGAAGACCAATCATAATGAGTCACGTCATCAATACCGAGCAGTACCAAGCCACGATACTGATGTGGCTCATTTTGATTGACTTCTGGATGATATTCGGCATCCGCACAAAATAATTTTTTCATATTTACAGTCAAATCATAAATGGTCAAACAAATATATAAAAGTTTTAAATACACTTTATAGTAAAAATGGAATCATCATGTAAAATGGAAGATAAGTGACACAATTAAATCTCATATATTAAGATCATTAATCTAAGAATAAATTTAATAATGTTTAATTTTATCTTGGCATAAATTTTTTTTAATGCGTGTATATATATATATATATAAGATAATAATTTAATATTTTTTACTATATTAAGATTTATCTATATAAATTTTAAATTATTAAATTTGTACATATTTATATATCTAATATCTAATTTATGTTTACTTATATAGCAATAAAAGTTTTAAATCAGATAAAAAATATTAATCATATTAACTTCTTTAAATAAAAATATATAGTTTAATACATATATTTTTAATGTAATTGAAACATTACAATATTATATAAATAAATATAAAATTTTAGTTATGTGATATGTATGTAGATATCCCAAAAACTAATACAGATAAAAAGAAAACTCTCAATAATCATCAAATAAATGTCTAATATATATCTAAAATTTTAATATTACATGCCTTTCACTCTTAGAATAAATATGGATATATTGAATGAAATATTAAAATTTATAAGGTGATAAGAATGAAACATATAAGTGATATATTTGATATTAAAATTTTATAGAAAAGGTAAAAATATAATATTAAAATTCTTAGTGATAGATATGTAAATATATTAAATAAAATTGTATGTTAATAATTGCAGCGGTATTGGCCCCCGGCTTCATCGCCAAATCAATCGGCTTCCAGAACAACGCCGGCCCGAAAGGCCACCAAGCCGTCGCCCTCCGCCTAAACGCCGACGCCGCCGTCCTCTACAACTGCCGCATCGACGGCTTCCAAGACTCCTTCTATTCCCAATCCGGCCGCCACTTCGTCCGCAACTGCGTCATTTCCGGCACCATCGACTTCATCTTCGGCGACTCCCAAGTCGTCATCCAAAACTCCCTCATCATCGTCCGCCGCCCAATGGACAATCAACAGAACACCGTCACCGCACACGGCAAAGACACTCCCCACGAACGCACCGCTCTCGTCATCCAAAACTGCCGAATCGTCCCCGACCAATTCCTCTTCCCCGACCGCTTCAAAATCGCTAGCTATCTCGGCCGCCCATGGAAGCAATTCTCCACCACTATTGTCATGGAATCCACTATCGGGGATCTTATTAGACCTCTGGGGTGGATGCCGTGGAACGGAGATTTTGCCCTAGACACGCTTTATTATGCCGAGTATAACAACAGGGGACCGGGATCGGTTACGAGTGGCAGGGTTAATTGGAAAGGATTTCATGTGATTAACAGGAAGGAGGCGGTGAGGTGGACTGCAGGCCCGCTGCTGGCCGGTGTGAACTGGATTCCGTTCGCCGGCGTGCCCCATGCGCTTACCCTCATCAAGTGATCGGGTCGGGAGAGGCGATGATGGAGAAAGAACAGAGCGATTAATTAATGTTCGATTACTTGTATACCATATTACGGATTTTCACATCTGCTTGACTGCTTCGATATGATTTTATTTTGGTTTCTGACATTCTGATTATTGTCACCTTATATTTATGATTTCGCAGAAATTTTAATTAAAATTGTAGAATTTAGTTGTTTTAAGATCATTTAATTCACTTTTATCATAGATAATATAGCCTTATATTAATATAATAATTATTATTGTTGTTGCATCCTGGAATATTTGCGGCGGTGGATAAATATAAAATTTAATGTCTTAGCTTTGTACGAAGATCCAGTACACAAGAGATATAAAAGATGGCGTAGTGTTCATAAGAGACACAAGAGTTTTTACGTAGAAACCCCTAAAAAGGGGAAAATCGCGGGGCCTAGCCCAGTTTGAATGAATCCACTATTATTTGCAGTCGATTACACATGAGGCTCTTCCTTGGGGGAAGGCCTTAGGTTGATGCATATATTGTACTTCATATTACATGGTAAAAATATGAAGAATTAGTATTGAAATGTTCATTCAGTCGGCAGAACCATAGTCGACGAGCGACAGAGGTCGAAAATTTCTTTCACCAACTTGGTGCGGCAGAGTACCAAAATCTTTTTTACCCTCCTTTTGAGACAAAGAACTGAAATCCTTTTCACTCACTTGATGAGGCAGAAAACTTGAATCCCTTTCCTCCTAGTGCAGCGAAACTGTCAATGGTCCTTTAACTCTAAGAGATTTTTCCCAAAGTTTCCCTCAAGTAAGACGTTGACTCATGGAGGAAGGAGGAGGATGATGACCAGAGAAATCATGTGAAGACTTCCTCTCTCACATTCCATTGATCCCACAAGGCTATTATTTCTCTCTCTCTCTCTCTCTCTCTCTCTCTCTCTCTCTCTCTCTCTCTCTACATATTTCTCTCCCAAACCCAAAGCTCACCTTTTAAACTCTCTCTCATAGTAGACTCTATCCTCCTTAACTGTCAAAGACTCTTCAAAATGAAATAAGAGTTGTTTAAATGCAAGGATCCAAAAAATCCTAATTTTTAATTTAGCAGTCATTGTTTGTATAGTACGATATATTGATCGTACAATATAATTATTACATTTCTCCTACTGTGGTATTGTACTATGAACAGCCTACATGATGACCAGTTAAAATTATTTAACTGGTCATATTGTACAAATGAACAATAGTATAGTGTGATTAGTTCAACTCAAGATCAGATCGTACAGGATGAACAAAAATAGTCCAAAGAGCCCTCACGTGATTCAGACAGTACGATTTTTGGATCGAATTGGATGAACCAAACTTCGTCCAAAGACTCCTCTGACGATTCATACAGTACAATATAGTATCATATAGTATGATCTATAATTGATTAGATCTGAATTGATTGATTAATTAACTAACTTAATTAGGCAATTATTTTAAATCATACAGTACAAATAGTTTAAATTTAGAAATTTAAATTCGCCTATTTTAGGTAATTTAGATTTAATGGTGGGGTTTCAAATTTAGTTGATCATCCAATATAATATTTTGTTCGTACTGTTAAATTAGTTATACTTTATAATCAATCATGCAGTACCTAGTCTTGAGCTATGATCCTTTGGCAATGCTTGATCATTGATGTATGATATACATGAAATAATAGTACACACATAAAAAATATATATATGCAATAATAACAAGTAGGAGAAGCTAAATAAACTCCAATAATATTTTTAATTATCAAAACATAAGCTCGGGTTCACATATTGCAACAAAGAGATCACCCTGTGTTAGGTCCTAGCTAACCCTTAGTTAACACTAAGTGCATAATTAACCCGGTTCTATTCTCTATTTAGTTGGTCATAATTAGGTTAATGATGATTATTTTAGTGATCTGAGGGTGTGTATTCAATCCCCTTACTCTTTAAATTCTAATCTTCCCTAATTAAACATAGCTTTGATAGTCATATGTCTTAGTTTATTCTAATTGACTAATTAGTGGCATGTCCTAAGTAGCCTTAGAAGCTTCTAGGTTTATTTAATAATTCATTAGCTTTGGTTTAACATACCAACGAAACAATGATGTGGCATTTCACCCTTAAGATGGAGAGTATACATAATTGGACCTTATGACCTTAGGATGACATAGTCCACCATAAGGTAGAATATGCTCATTTTTATGGTCTCTTAAAATCTCTAATTGCCTTATTCATAAGAGTTAGAGACTTTAGTAATGTTTTCCCTCTCATTCCCTAACGTAGATCCTACACCCATAAATTTAGGATCTTGAAATCCATAGTGGATTCTCTTTTCGCATCATATTACACATCATAACCCTTAAACCTACAATTTAGGCCTACAATTTAAAATTACATAATTTCGAAGACTTTGATGACAAGGACTACCTTAGGGTGTTTTATGCTTATCACTATTGGATTCTTTATAACCCTTAATAATCAAACAATTAAATCATAAAATATGTTAACAAATCATTCAAGCTATTAATGATTTAAATTAAAAATATCATTTGGTTAATAAACTTGTACACACTTACCACAATTCTAATTAGAACATCAAACTTTGATTAGATGGTCATTATCACAAACTAAGCATATATTAGGTGTTGTAATTGGTGTTTTATCATGCATTTGAAGACTAGGTCGTGCAACTTTTAAATTCTATTTCTTGAGGAGTTGTTATAATAGTCTTTATTTTAATCCAATTAAATAATTTTTTCAGAAATCATTATAAGTCTACATCACAAACTATTTTAGCCATAATATAGATAGTATAATTATTTAATTACATTAATTTTTTCATAATTTTTGGGCACCGATACAAATCCTTAAGAAATTGATAGATATCAGTACAAGTGAGGGTTTGGGACCATCATATGTCCGTTTTACAAATCAATTTCATCAAAATTTTTTAAATAAATTAGACTATCTTATAGATATTTTTCTATAATTTTTTAATCTAAAAAGATATATATTTTTATATTAAAATTGATTAAATTAATAATACTATATTATTTTTACTTATAAATATCTTTATTCATTAATTAAAATCAATTTTTTTTTTCTCCATTCATTCGACTGAACTGTACAGAGGAACATAAAATATATATATGAGAAATGAGAGGGAAGGAAAAAGAAATGTTAAGATTAAGTAATTTTCGTTAGTTGATTCTGTTGGAAGATTTGTGCGTCTAATTGTAAAGAATCATTATCTTATTTTTTATTTCAATAATTTGATTTTTTTTTATTTTTTCAGTCAAATTTGTATTTTTTTTACCCAAAAACGAAAATGATTTTGTATTGGTAAAAGCAAAACTTTTACCGTGCAATCTTTTATATATTATAAAGATTGAGATTATGAGCATTTTAAGTATTTATTTAAGATTTTTTTGCTCGGAGAACTTGATAATATTATATTATTTTTACTTATAAATATCTTTCTCCATTAACTAAAATCAATTTAAAAATTTTTTTTCTCCATTCATTCGACTGAACTGTACAGAGGAACATAAAATATATATATGAGAAATGAGAGGGAAGGAAAAAAGAAATGTTAAGATTAAGTAATTTTTGTCAGTTGATTCTGTTGGAAGATTTGTTCGTCTAATTGTAAAGAATCGTCATCTTATTTTTTATTTCAATAATTTAATTTTTTTTTATAGTCAAATTTGTATTTTTGATACCCAAAAACGAAAATGATTTTGTATTTGTAAAAGTAAAACTTTCACCGTGCAATCTTTTATATGTTATGAAGATTGAGATTATGAGAATTTTAAGTATTTATTTCATATTTTTTTGCTCGGAGATCTTGAAAAAGTAACGATTTTTATCAATTTAGAAATTCATTTTAACATATAAAAATAGTAATTTTGTTCAATTAAAGCTTTAGAATGTTGTTAGACAATCTCTGGTAATTTGATTAATTTTTAAAAATATGAATTTCTACTCAGTAGAGTTTTCTGTTGCCTACCATTAGAATATGTTGGTGCTTTTTGAATTAAACATAATTATGTTTTATTTATTGTAATGTATTGGAAATAAATATGGATATGTGATTGAGTAATAGCTAGTTATTATTAATACTATGATAATCATGTGTGTATGTAAAAGAAAAGTAAAGACCGATTTACCCTGATTAATATGTATATCATGGTGGGTTGATGGGCATTATTCCTTTAGATACTATGATTGATTGTTATCCTCTTCTGATACAACAATACAATGATTAAGAGTTAAAATGAGTTATTACTATGTCGACGGATTAAAAATGACGACTACGTTTATTGAGTCAACGATTTACTTATATAATATTAAAAAAATATCATGATAGACAGAACTTCTTACTTGTTTAGTATGACTACTGAAATGCATGTTATTGATGAATTATTCCTATTATTATATGAATTTATTGTTATTACACAAATTTATTATTATTGCATTATTTTATTACTCCTACCACTAGAATGTTACTATTATCGATATAGACATTGATATTATTTGATACTACTGATTCACTATACTTATACTAATTATGTGACATACTAAGCACATAATATACTAATTTGATATTAATATTAATATTGATATTGAATAGTTATATAATATGTGTACACTCCTATATGATTTTATTATATTTATATTATTTCGATAGTCTTTATTGATGCTTTAGTTTTATCTATTTATATGATTTCTCTACTAATTGATAGTTTTGATACGATGACTGCTTTACTGATTGATTTATTGATTTCTCTATTGTACAGCTTTACTAGCTTCTGTACTACATCACTTTCCTGTTATTACATGCGTGTTTTACTATTTATGCATTGATTCGTGATTATATTAATGCAACTGTTATGATTTGACTGTTTACATGCATATTGCTCCTTTACAACTTTGAATTCACTTATAAGATTTTAATGACTTATTGGGTCGTTTAGCTCATTAAGATTGTATAGATCTTGAGTAGTATATATAATTTTTAGAAGAAAAAAAATACATATATGTATATTGATATTTTGATCGATAATTTTATTTTTACTTGTATTTATATTAAAAAAATTAGGTAGCTATGGTTGTGTAAATTAAAAGATTAAAAAAAAAAAAAGATTCTTCTAATTTAGATTCTGGGATGTGACAGATTTATTATATAAGTTAGCAATATTATGTAGTTGTAATTATGTAAATTATGATATAACTATTTTCTCCCTATACAAGCTTATTGTGTAGGCCCCTCAAAGGCATTATTTGCTTGCTTAACACAATATTGTGCTTAACTAATGATAAGTTTATTGAAATATATGAAAATGCACTAATGTCTTTTATGCTTCTATTTTTCTTTTGTAATTTTAATATATGCAAGCTTGCTAGAGGTATGTGGCATGATCTAGATATCTTTGTTTTACTTTATATGTCTTAGTTGCACTACTTTTCTTAAGTTTCTTTTTATTGTTATATTATTTGTTAAAATAAATTGAGTTTGGCTCTTAAGGATCTTAAATAATTTACCCTAACTTGTAAATAAGATAACATTAATCTTAATAAATTAATGCCATCAAAATTAAATGCATGACATTTCTCTAAGCCATTTTTTAATAATCAACCATGGAACCGCACATGAGTTATTAATGTGCATTTAGCATTTGATTGACTATCTTGTCCTTTGAGAGTGTGCTCGATAGAGATCAACAAATTACCTATGGTTGATAAACATATCTGCTAGCATAATATGTCTACGTTGTAGAAATATTTGTCTGAATAAATAACTAATCAAAAATGTGTAATCATATCAAACATCATATTCGCATGATGGGATAATCTTTGTTGTAGTGGTATGCTTGTATGCCTAGCCTATTACTTATGATAAGTTAACTCCATATTGCATTTGCATAGAGACTTCAACATTATGAATTTCAAAATATTTATGTGGATTTAGTTGGATGTCTATTTCAAGTGAGATTATAATTTCATATGTCGAGCTTCCATCATAATGTTAGAAGAAGGTCAAAAGGTGAAGAAAAATGTAAATTTTAATTCAAACTTTAGAACGTGGTCTCAATCATATAATTTTCTTGATCATGTAGGATCTAAATTATATAAGTTTGTTTGAAAATTACATGTGGGGTTTATTCAACTTTTATGACCTGTCTGGCATCCTTAAATTGCCATAAATCCTTTAAGCTTCACAAGTTCAAAGGCTTCCAATATCACAATCCTCCAAGAGACAAACTCATATGATCACATATTCTCTTTATTTCTATTGTAAACCTAAATCATTATATCAGTCACTTAATGAATCCTCTATTACCAGGAAAATTACGTTCGGCGTCCGAACCGTTCGGAGATGAATTCGGACGCGCCACGTCATCCGAACCCATCCGAATGTGTCAGAATCTGGATGACATGGTGCATCCGGATTCACCTTCAGACGAGTCGGCAAATTATTACACGTCATCCGGACCTATCCGGATGTATCAGAATCCAGATGATATGGTCCATCCGAATTCACCTCGGATGAATCCTGGCGACATAATAATTTTCCCTCTTACAGGCCTGCCCGGCTGCCCGCCTGTTTATGTAAAAATCGAGAGATGTAGCTCGAGCCCTATTCCGATGCTTCTTCAGCTCGACTCTCTCCTCCACCGCTGCTCCGCCCTCACCCATCTCAAGCAATTCCACGCCCAACTCGTCTCACACGGCCTCTTTCAGCTCCTACCCTGCCTCCGCTCCAAACTTACCGAACTCTTCGCCGTCTCCGCCTTCGGCGATCTCCCCCACGCCACCGCGATGCTCCGCTGCACCCTCGCTCCGAGAACCAACGACTTCAACGCCCTCCTACGCGGCCTATCACTCTCCCCCGACCCCTCCCCCGCCCTCTCCCTCTACCCCCTTCTCCTCCACTCCACCTCCTCCCGCCCCGACGCCCTCTCCCTCTCCTTCACCCTCAAATCTGCCGCCCGCCTCTCCTCTCTATCAACCATCTCCCCTCTCCATTCCCACCTCCTCTGCCTCGGCCTCGCCGCCGACGTCCGCCTCCTCACCACCCTCATCGACGCCTACGCCAAATCCTCCCGCACCGACCTCGCTCTTCAAGCATTCGATGAAATGCCCCTCCGTGACATCGCCACCTGGAACACACTCCTCCTCTCCCTCCTCCCCCACCACTCCCTCTCCCTCTTCCACCGCCTCCAACACAACCCCCCTTCCCCGCGCGAATGCCCCGACGCCGTCACCGTCGTCGCCGCCCTCTCCTCCTGCTCTCAACTCGGCGCCCTCGCCGAAGGCGCCTCCATCCATGCCTACGCCAACTCCCTCCACCTCGACGCCGACATCCGGGTCCGCAATGCGCTCATCGACATGTACGCCAAATGCGGCGACATCTCCCGCGCTCTCTCCCTCTTCCGCTCCCTAGATTCCAAAACCCTTGTCTCCTGGAACGCCGCCATCATGACCCTCGCTCTCCACGGCCGCGGCCGAGATGCCCTCCAACTGTTCGACGAAATGCTCAGCTCCACCCCAATCGAACCCGACGCAATCACCTACCTCGCCGTCCTCTGCGGCTGCACTCACGCCGGCCTGGTAGAGGACGGCCTCCGCATATTCCATTCCATCCGAATTCCCCGTACAGTAAAGCACTACGGCACCATCGTCGATCTTTTGGGCCGCGCCGGCCGTCTTCGGGAAGCCTACAACATAGTCACCACCATGCCCTTCTCACCGGACGCAGTAATGTACCAAACTCTCCTCGGCGCCTGCAAGACCTATGGCGACGACAACATGGCCGAGCTTGTTTCAGCAAAGCTCAAGGAAATGGGATCCAACGGCTGTGGAGACTTCGTTTTGTTATCCAACGTATACGCCTCGAAGGCCCGATGGGCCGACGTGGGTCGGGTCAGGGACGCTATGAGGAAAGGTGAAGTGAGGAAAGTACCAGGCTTCAGTTACATGGAAGTGAATGGATTTGTTCACAGGTTTATCAATAGTGATAAGGAACATGTTAGATTGAGTGAGATTTATGAGAAATTGGAGGAGATTGGATCGAGGATCAGACGGCTGGGATACGTTCCGGACACTAGAAATGTTCTTCATGATATTGGTGAGGAGGAGAAAGAAAATGCCTTATATTATCATAGCGAGAAATTGGCAATCGCATTTGGGTTGATTAGTATACCAAAAGGCGAACCGATAAGGGTTAATAAGAACTTGCGGATTTGTGCGGATTGTCATACGGTGGCGAAACTCGTATCGAAGGAATATGATCGGGTGATTGTCATTCGTGATCGAGCGCGATTTCACCATTTTGAGGGCGGTGATTGCTCGTGCCGAGATTTCTGGTGAATTTGGATGGTGATGATATTGTGAATCTAGAGCTTTGAGTGAGACTCTCTAATGGAGAGTTTATTTCTCCTAAACTCTTCTGCAATATAACCATCCAGTCATCCAGATTATGAGAAGATTTTTCATGTTTGTTAAATTATCAAATAATTGTTTTTTAGATTTCTTTTAATTATATATGATGGAAATCATTTTTTCTTATGGCTATGTAGTTTGTACATTGACATTAACAAACTTATTTTTTTATTTTTTTTTTGTTTTTTTTCATAGATATACAGATTGTTTTTTTTTTTTTTTTTTTCCATTTCTGCAGTTATTATTTTCGACAATTCTTAGCAGAATGCAAGTAAAAAATTTATATAGTGTAAGAAAATATGGATTTGATTCAATCAAGAGGAGGAAATTTTGAACATATTTGAAGAAACTCTATTTGAACTCCTAGAGCAACTAAGGCGACTTTTTATTACTTCTTAAAGCAGCTTTTTTTTTTTTTTTTTTACATCAAATTTTAATTTTTGATAAAAATTAAAGCAGCCTTTTATTACAAAATTATAGAAAGTTGCTTTAAGAATTTATACTAGAAAGTTATTTTAAAAAGTAGTAATAAAGTCTAAGATTTCGTTTAAGACGTCTTTATCACCGTTTTTCGAAAAGTTACTTTAAGAATTTGTACTATAAAATTATGGCAAACAAAACTTTAAAGAAGAGAATAATATTTTACATTCAGCGCTCATAGGTGCAAAAGAAGTTCTTCAAATTTTGAATAATTTCTTATTTTGCAATACACCAAAGCTTTCAAAGTTGCACAAAATTATCCTCTCATGTTTTACTGTAAAGGCATACTGTATCCCTTGTAATTTATCACAATACACAAATAACAGTATGTGCTTAGCCCCCTTGTTCTTCGGGAGTGTTTTAGGTTTCATTTGGGACGATTTTTTTATTGCTTCTTAAAGCAGTTTTCTAGGATAAAAATTTTAATTTTTATACTAAGAAGTTGCTTTAGGAAGTAGAAAGAAAGCCGTCCCAAACGAAACTTTAGTTATTTTTTTCCACCCAAGTTTACAAGAAAAGGAACATTCATGCCAGAAATGAAGTCATGGTGAGCTTATTGTCTTCTTTCTCTGTATTTCCTCTGAAACCCAATTTCTTTTCTTGACAGAAAGCACTTGTCACCTCTCCTCCACCTCTATGTCTTAGACTTCGTTTGGGACGACTTTCTTACTGTTTCTTAAAACAATTTTCTAGTACAATTTTTTTAAAACAGCTTTCAAGTAAAAAATTTTTAATTTTTGTACTAAAGTTGATTTCAACAGTAAGAAAGCCGTCCCAAATAAATCCTAGATTTCATTTCGTACAACTTTCTTATTATTTTCTAAAAAAAATTTACAAAAAATTTCTAATTAAAAAAATTTTTATACTAGAAAAATATTTAGAAAGCAGAAAAACAGTTATCTCAAACTAAGCTTTAGGATGGTGGAGGGAAAACAAAAGATGTAAGGTTTTCAACATTTTTCTTTCTTTTGCTATGAGAACGCAGATGGAGAAGAAACTTAGGTTTCGTTTGGGACAGTTTTCTTGCTGCTTTTTAAAACAACTTTCTAGTTCAATTATTAAAATTTTTATACTAAAAAGCGGCTTTAAGAAGCAACAAGAAAATCGTCCCAAACGAAGCCTTAGAGGAAATAAAGATTGTAGAGAAGGCATTGCCAGAAAGTTACAATCATTATACTCGCCAATATCATCCAATGTAGGTACAAAAAACCAATATTTGATAATAATCTTACCAATTGCTCTATTTTGTATACAAATTCAACAACATTCATTTATCTTCACTACATATAATGCAAGAATTGCACAAGATTCGTGCTCTCTAATGAATCTATTTTTAAGGAAACCATCAGCGTAACTTCTAAGTTCAACATGTTCATTTGACTTTATTTATTAAGTGAATAATTAGACAAAATTATCAAAACATTAAATCAAATGCATAAATATCATTTTTTTTTATCAAAAAGATCATTAGGGCATAATTTTTTAAAATTAGATAGTTCTTCACTGACACATCAGATATACTGATACTTTCAATCACAACATCCTTCAATTCTCTAACAACCAAAAGCATAAACAAATCTTTTTTAAAGATTTCATTTGAGACAACTTTCTTATTGCTTTATAAAGCTATTATTTTTACAAAAATCTCTTGAAATCAGCAAAAAAATAATAGTAAGATTCGTTTGGGACAACTTTCTTACTACTTAAAGCAGATTTCTAGTATAAAAATTAAAAAAATCATACTTTAAAATTGCTTTCAGAAAAAGTAAAAAAAAAAAAAAACTTCCCAAACAAAGCCTAGACTTGTTTTCCAAAGCATGTTGAATAAATAAAATTAATTCAAGAAATTAAACCAATTACTAAAAATTAGATAATAGAATAGAATAAAAAAAAGTGATCACCAAACAATAACATCAAACCTTAAATACAAAGATATAACTTCTCTTAAAAATCTTCAATCTCCATTTGCATTGGGAGATGCTAAAAGAAATTGTACATAAGCAAAATTTTATTTCATCAAAGTAGAAATCAAGGATAACAGTTTGTATATATATCAATAAAAAATCCTCAACTTACATCTAAAAAAATCAAAAGATAAGTAGGTAGCCTTATCTCCAACCCCTACGAGCCATAGGGAGACAAGGATTGTATAATAACCGCAGTGCAAATCACCAAAAATGTTGCAGTCACATATGCCAACAAAACCCAAAAATATCATAACAAAGAAATCGCAAGGAGCTATCGAAGGATTGTAGGGGTGCAGGAAAAAGAAGCTAAAATAATCGATGTTGCCGTGCGTCCATAGAAGTCGGGATCACTGAAAACAGCAAAGGAACAGTAACAGCCCGTATGATAAGGCAGTCAACAAGTCACTTTTGAAGCAAATAGGGGAAACAAAGAACTAAAGACAACAGAAAATGAAATTTCTTAAAATAAGAAACTATTTACTCTTTTAGATCCTCAATTTGTTCATTTCAATGCGCACATCTTGCATTTTTGTTGGCTATAAATTTTGAGGTTTGCAAAACAATATCTTGCCAAGATTACTCGGGTTGCCATAACATTAGTCATCCATGCATTCGTTTGGTCAAACACTAACTGTGCTTTGGCAAAATAAAATCATGTTCTTCAGTTCTTGTTTAGAACATACTTTTACCAAACTAATGTCAATTGGTTCACAACAACAACATCAAGCCTTTATCCTTTCCGCTACATCAATCTTTTTTCTCCATTTTGTCCTATTAAAATTCAAATTCTCGTTTAAATCTAATAAAGAAATATCATTTCTAATATTTTCTAACCAAATTTTTTTAGGTCTACCTCTACGTTTCTTAACATAAGTCAAATCTAATACATCTATTTTCCTAACCAGGTCATCAGAAGGCCGCCGTTTTATGTAACCAAACTATATAAGGTGACTCTCTCTAATCTTATCTTATACGAGAGCTACTCCAACATTTTCACGTATATGCTCATTTCGTATCCTATCTCTAAGGGTAAAGCCACTCATTTACCTGAGCATCCTCATCTCTGCCACACTTAACTTAGTATTATGCTTCTCTTTTAATGATCAATATTCCGCACCATAAAGCATTGCAGGCCTCACCACCATCTTATAGAATTTTCCCTTAAGTTTGAGGGGTATTTTTTTATCGCACAACAAGCCCGATGCATTCCTCCACTTCAACCATTCAACTTGAATTCTACCATTCAACTTGAATTCTACTGATAATATCCCCATCTATTTCATCATCGCTCTGAACAATAGATCCAATATATCTAAAATGTATACTCTTATTAATGACTTGATTGCCCAAAGTCACAATCCCCTCACTAGGTCTATTATTACTAAAATTACTCTCCATATACTCCATTTTAGATCTACTCAAGCGAAAACCTTTAGACTCTAAGGTTGATCTACATAATTCAAGTTTACCTTCAACTCCCTCTCTATTCTTATCAACAAGAAGAATATCATCAGCAAAAAGCATATACCAAGGTACATCCGCTTGCAAAGGTCTAGTGAGAACATCCATGACTAAAGCAAAAAAGATATAGGCTTAAGGCCAATCTTTGATGTAACCCAACCGAAATAGGTAAATAATTGGTCAAACCACCTTGTGTTCGAACACAAGTAATAGCTCCTGCATATATATCTTTAATTATTTGAATATAAGTGGTATTAACTCTTTTCTTTTCAAGAACTCTCCAAAGCACTTCTCTTGGAACTCTATCATATGCTTTTTCTAAATCAATAAATATCACATGTAGATCCTTTTTATTTTCTCTATATTTCTCCATCAAACCTCTTAATAAATGTATGGCTTCCATAGTCGACCTACCTGGCATGAAACCAAATTGATTTTGAGAAACATTAATATCATGCCACAACCTATGCTCCATAACTCACTCCCATAGTTTTAAAGTATGACAAATTAACTTAATTACACTATAATTCACACAATCTTGTGCATCACCTTTATTCTTAAAAAAGGAATTAATACACTCATTCTCCACTCATCTGGCATCTTTTTAGTCTTCATAACAGTATTAAAAAGTTTAGTAAGCCAATAAATTCCTTCCTCTCCTAAGCATTTCCACACCTCTATTGGAATATCATCAGGTCCAACAGCTTTTTCACCATTCATTTTCTTTAAAGCCTCTCTAACTTCGGTTTTATTAATACGCCGATAAAAACAGTAATCTTTATTTTCATTTAGGGTACTAAAATCAATACAGTCAATCGGTTCACGTGAATAATTAAACACCCACTTTAATAGGAACTAAAAGATCTCCTTAATTAGAAATAAACCACCTTTAAATGCTATCACGGACCAAAAGGATTGTCAAAATTAACCAAAACATATAGAAGCTGCCACTAAATTGCCAAGAAAAGAAACTTACAATTTTGAGAATACTAGTCATCCTGAATTACAATTGCCTCTTCAGCCACGGCCCAGCCATGGTTGCTCAGCTGTTCTGTGCATGAATTGGAACAACAGTTCTGCATTGCAAAATGTTGTGATTTTCAAGAAAAGAAGCTAAGAGAACGTTTATCATAAAGGAAAACCATTCATACTGGTAAATATCTGAGAGAGGATATCACTCTTTATGTTCAATATAGGATGATGATAGCTTATTTTTTAAGTTATGATGCTGACACACAAAATTGATATGCTTGAAGGCTAAAAATACAACAACAACAACAACAACATCAAGCCTTTATCCCACTACGTGGGGTCGGCTACATGAATCCTTTTTCTCCATTGTGTCCTATTAAAAGTCAAATTCTCGTTTAAATCTAATAAAGAAAGGTCATTCCTAATATTTTCTAACCAAGTCTTTTTAGGTCTACCCCTACCTTTCTTAACATAAGTAAAATCTAATACCTCTACTCTCCTAACCGGGTCATCGCAAGGCTGCCGTTTTATGTGACCAAACCATCTAAGGCGACTTTCTCTAATCTTATCTTCTACTGGAGCTACTCCAACGTCATTATTGTTCGACAAGTTTTACGCTGGCTATCGACTACCTAACGCAACCCTCCACTTTTCTCATCCAGGACTTGGGACCTGGCAACGGCAGTGTTAAAAATGAATATCCATGTTTTATGTATAAAAAATGCTCACCAAGACATGCATGTCAGTATAAATTCATATAC